GCACAGGCGTCACCACTACAGCCAGCTTGAAGTTGTTCTTTTAAAGGTAAATATCCAGTTGTCCCAGCAATTAGAAAGACTTCTTGGGGTTTGGGGTTGTGTCTCAGTGGTACAGCATTTTCCTAGTATGCGTGAAACCCCAGCACTGCAAGAGACACAGACAGGGATCGGCACTTTTTTTCTCTCATTGAATGGTTTTGACACCTTTGTAGAGTATCAGTTGACGATAGATGTATGGGTTTATTTCTGGACTCTCAATTGGTCTATATCTGTCCTTATGCCAGTATCACGGTGCCTTGATTATTTCAGCTTTTAGTTAGGTTTTGAATTGGGAAGTGTGAGTCTTTCACTTTATTCTGAAAGTTGGTTTGACTGTTCTGGATCCCTTGCATTTCCTTATGAATTTTAGGATCCACTTATCCGTTTCAGCAAAAAAAGGCGGTTGAACCTTTGATAGGGACTGGTCTCTCATTTCTTTCAGGGATGTTTTATTATTTTCAGTGTTTGTCATGCATTTGTTTTCTTAAATATATTCCTAAATACATAATTCTTTTTGATACTATTGTAAATGTAACTTGAATTTCATTTTGTTATATACATTAATATAACTGAATTTTTTTTTTTTGGAACTGGGAATTGAACTCAGGTCCTTGCGCTTGCGTGGCAGGCAGCGAAACCACTGAGCTAAATCCTCGGCCCTAATATAACTGATTTTTATAAGTTGATTTTGTAGCCTATAACTTTGCTGAATGTACTAGAAGTTTTTTGATGGATTCTTTAGGATTTCCTATATAACATTGCATCTACAGATTGAGATATTTTCACTTCTTTGGCTCTTTGAATGCCTTTATTTCTTTCCCTATTTGTCCTACATAGAACTTGCAGTACAGTGATTAATAGAGAGCAGACATCTTTGTCTTGTTCTTGGTTTTAAGGAGAAGTTTTCAGTCTTCCAGCATTGGTGATGTTGTTTGCGGAGTTTTTGTAGATCCCCTTTAACAGGAATTCCCTTCTATTTCTAGTCTGTTGGGTGTTCTTATCAGGAAATGATATTGGATATTGTCCAGTGCTTTCTCTGCATCAATTGAGAAAATCATGTGGGTTTTCCCAGATCTATTAATTCAGTGTGTTACATTGACTGATGTAATTAGGTTGAACCAACCTAATTCCTGGGATAAATCCCACTTGTTCATGATGCATAATCCTTGTACTATGCTCTTGGATTTGGCTTGCTCTCATTTTATTGAGGATTTTTGTGTCTGCATTCATAACACATATTGATCTATAGTTTTCTTCTGATGTTTTGTTGTCTGGTTTTGATATCAGGATTCTATTGGCCTTGTAAGGTTGGTATATATCTTCTATATAATGTTCTTTTTTAGTGCTTGCTTCGGGAGCACATATAATAATGTTCTTTTTTATTAAAAAAAAAATAGGATCTTATCATGTTCCCCCAGCTACCCTGAAACTCCTGAACTTAATCCTACTGTCTCAGCCTTCAGCCTATCTTGTGGTTGGGACTAAAGGAGTGTGCCACTAACTGCCACAGTCTTTTGAATTATTTTCTTGTGATTTTTTTTTTTTTTTTTGGTACCGGGGATCGAACTCAGGACCTTGCACTTGTGAGGCAGGCAGTGGCACCACTGAGCTAAATCCCTGGCCCTATTTTCTTGTGATTGATTCCCAGAAGAAGGAAAATATATGTACATTTACAAGTTACTTGATAAATGTTGCCTAATCACTTTCTAAAAAGTCAAGTCATGTTTATTTATTATTTGAGATTTCTTTTTAGGATAGCCATCTCTTAAAATTTACTCTTTTTACACCTTTAGAAACTTATAAGATTTTCGGAAAGGCAAAGCCAGCCTGGGCCTCCTGCAATACATTTTAAAGTCTGTGCCCTGTGGAACAGCTCCAGGGATGTTGGACGCAGCATTTCACTTCGCAAATTGTTATTGCTTGTTCTCCACCTAGAACAGAGTTTCTCAATCCTGTGCTGTTTTAGGCCAGATAACTTTTTCTTTTCTTTTTTTCTGGGGGGTGGGGTTTGAACCTGAGGCCTTGGACTGAGCTACTTTGCCAGCTCTTTTATTTCAAGACAGGATCTCATTAAGTTGTCAAGGATGGCCTCAAATTTGTGATCCTCCTGCCTCAGCTTCCCAAGTAGCTTGGATTATAGGTGTGTACCACCATACCCTCATAGAATAATTCTTTACTGAAGCTGTCCTGGGCCTAAGATGGTGGCTTTTACCCACTAGATACAGTACCAGTCCCCCTCATCCCTCCCAAGTGGGGACAAACAAAAATGTCCCCAGATATTGCCAAATGTGCCCTAGTAGACAAAACTGTCAGTGGTTAAGAATTACTGATCATCCAATGAGAAACGGTGGCACACACTTAATCCCAGCTGTTCAGGAAATAAGGTAGGAAGATCACAAGTTTGAGGCCAGCCTGGGCAATTTAGCAAGAAGACCGTGTCTTGAGAAAACAAACAAACAAAAACTGACCTCAGTGGTAGAGCACTTACAGCAATCATCAAATCACCAGTACCGGGGCTGGGGATTTAGCTCAGTGGTATCACTGCCTGTTGCGCAAGTACAAGGACCCAAGTTCGATCCCCAGTACCAAAAAAAAAAAAGCTGTTTGGGGCCGGGGATTTAGCTCAGTGGTTCCGCCACTTGCTCCACAAGAGTAAGGACCCAAGTTCGATCCCCGGTACCGAAAGCAAACAAAAATCACCAGTACCACAAAAATAATCACTGAGGGCCTGGGGATGTAGCTCAGTGGTGCTGCATCTGCCCAGCAAATACAAGGTCCTGAGTTTGATCCCCAGTACCAGGAATAAATAAATAAATAAGCTGGGATAAAGGGGGGCTGGGCAGGGATTTAGCTCAGTGGTGCTGCTGCCTGCCTCACAAGCGCAAGGCCCCAAGTTTGATCCCTGGTACCAAAAAAAAAAAATCGCTGAGCTATAAACTATGGTACTTGCTCGATTTCATATGACTTAAAAATTTGAGCCAAGGATTTAGCTCAGTGGTTCCACTGCCTGCCTCGCAAGTGCAAGGACCCGGGTTTGATCCCTGGTACCACAAAAAAAAAAATTTGAGTTGAATTCTCAGTATACATACATGTATGATACAGTTTGTATGTGAGAATTCAAATCTGTATCTTTAGTGTTGGTTCTTCTCTAGATTCCCAGGCCCTTTTTGCAACTACCTACATCTTAAGATTGGTGTGTCCAAAATTAGCTGTAGTTTCTGCATGCCTCCAACTGCTCTTCCTCTATCTTTGGTCTCCTAGCTCATGACACTACCAGTGATTCCCTTTCCCATTCTTAGGTTCTTTCCCCTCCTCTCCCATAAAGTTCACCTCCTAAATCTTTCTAAATTCAGGCTTCTCTCTTCCCAGTGCCACTTCCCTAGTTTGTTCCTCTCAGCTCTGCTGCGGCAGCAATCCTTAACTCTCCCCTGTTCCCTGTGCTGCTGCCTTTAAGGTGCATTTCAACGTGGGTCACTCACCTTGCACTGCAGTCCTCACCACTGAGCCTGCTAGCCTCTCCAGGCTCTTCCCAGAATCCCTTGTGCTGTACTTGGCCTTTGCCTGCCTGCAGGCCCCTTACCCTACTGTCACCTTGGACTGTGCTGCAGCCACCCCACCCTGTCCTGTCCACACAGGGGCAGTCACTCTTCTCTCTCTCTCTCTCTGTCTCTCTGTCTCTCTGTCTCTCTCTCTCCTCTCTCTCCAAAGCCCCAGGGGAGACCTGGGTCATTGGTTGACAGTGAGTGCCACAAGCCCAGGGACCACAACTTACTGATTCCTGCCCACTCCCCAGTGCCAAGCCCAGAGCCTGATGTGGAGTGGCTGCTCTGTAAACATGTGTTAAGACTCCTAGAGCAGAAGGAGGCTACCTGGCATTTACAGGTAGCTGCAGGGGTTTTTTGGTTTTGTTTTTGTGGGGTTTTTTTTTTTCCAAAAATTTACTCAGAGCCAACTAGGTCATGGGCACTAGTAATAGAAAAGAGAGATGAGATGGGATTATAAACAAAGTTTAATATAGAGAGATAAGTACAGTCATAAACTGTGTGTAAAGTGGATCTAGAGAATGAACTGTTTGCATTTGGGCAAGGCAGGGTCCTCACCCTTCCATAGACCTCTTTTGTTTTGTTTTGTTTTGTTTTGTTTTTTGTTATTTTGAGACAGAATCTCGAAATGTCGTTCAGGCTGGCTTTGAACTCACTTTGTAGCCCAGGCTGGCCTTGAACTTGTGATCCTCCTGCCTCAACACCAACTTTGGGAAGGAGGTGATCATAGTAAATTCCTCAGCAAAACATTTTAGCAGAACAGGGAGGAGGGAGGACGCCTGTGTGCAGTGGGTTGAGGAATATTGAGAAATGAAGATATTGAATTTGTATATAAAGAACATTCTTTCAGAATATTTGTTTCTTCTGGATTGGAAGTGGGACACATACAAATAAAAAACCTGAGCATGTTTATAAGCTGAATTAAGCAGAGGGAGACATTAAACATATGGGAACAGAAGTATACAGAGTCTGGGGAGGTATGAGATCAACAGCCAGGTGGGATGGGTGTGCCTTGAAAAGGTCCTGGAACATGACTATTCCTCAAGGCAGAAGACAGAGGGCCGGGGATTTAGCTCAGTGGTTCTGCCGCCTGCCCTGCAAGAGCTAGGACCCAAGTTCAATCCCTGGTACCAAAAGAAAAAGACAAGACAGAACTAGTATAGGCAGGTGTTTGTGGGGTAGAGGGGAGAGAGCTTAGCCACAGCCAGCTGTTTGTTATCACTGAAAGCTCGATCGCCATCACTGTGTTACAGTGTTCATGGCTTCTCTTCTCTGCGAGAGGGAACTGTGCCATCCATCCAGGGTGTTGGGGAGGAAATGGAAAAGTGCTGGAGGAGCTCTCTATAGGGAAGGCACAGATGCCAAGAAGCAGAACACGCACACACAGGGATGTATGTGACATTCTCTTTTCTCTTTTAGGAACAGAAATGAATAAAAGCAGCAGGCAGAGTAGGAGAAGATATGGGAGAAGAAGCCGCCAGCAGAACTCTTGGTGCAGACAGCGCCATTCCAGTGAGAGGCAAGTGTGCCAGAGCTGGGAGCCAGGCCTGCCTAGGTCCGCTGTGCATTTCATACTCAGGTCCCCATGCACCTGAGGAGAGCTGTGTATCCAGTAGGTTCTCTGGGCGTGTGGCTGCTGTGGGTCCATCCACCACTCTGAGCAGTGAGGGGGCACAGCTACATACACTCTACTTTCTTTCAGAGTGACTGTGGCTTCTGGTCAGTGTTATCCATATGGTTACAGGAAGACATTACCTGATACAATTGGTGACCTACTTCTCTATTTTAGTTTGGTTTTGAAGTCTATATATGAAACATTATACATAATATATACGAAAGTTTATTTAAAAAGTACACAGGAGACTGAGACAGGAAGGTCACAAGTATAAGGCCAGCCTTGGATACATAGGGAGTTCAAGGCCAGCCTGGACTGCATAGTGAAACTCTCTCTCCAAAAAAGAAAAAGAAGAAAAAAATTTTTAAGTGAAAAATGTAGTGAACATCATGTATCCAGCACCCAACTTAGAAAATAAAATTTATACTGAGTTGAAATCCCCAGTATAAACATTTTCTACATTCTGTTTGTTTTTCTTCATGAAGGAAGTCCGGTTTTGTCTTGGAACAAGACAGCTCCCCTGGCCTCAGGAGAGGATATCAGCTCTGCCGTTGAGGGCTTCTGCAAGACTCCTGGGCACCCCTGCCTTCCCACAGCCCTCAGTGTCACAAGCTCCCTCAGCACCAAAAGGGATGCAGCTCCCAAATTTTAAATTCTCCCCTGGTTCAGACCACCTTTTAAAACAGACTTGGGCCGGGGATTTAGCTCAGTGGCACTGCACCTGCCTTGCAAATGCAAGGTCCTCAGTTCGATCCCTGGTACCGAAAAAAACAAAAACAAAAACAGACAGACTCTTTTTTTGTTTGGTTTTTTGAGACCAGGTCTTGCTATGTAGCCCATGCTAGCCTCGAACTCATAGCAAGCCTCCTGCTTCAGGCTTGAGTACTGGGATTAGAGGTGTGTGCCACCACAACCAGCAAAACAGACAGATTTCTTAGTTATAGAACTGTAAGATGTCAAATATCAAGATGCTTCTCTGGAACAAATTAACCCAAACAGTAACAGAAGCATCCAGAAGTTGTAGAAGGAACAAGGGCTTTAGACCCAGGAGCTCTGCTTTCTCTTATGAAACTGGGCCAAGTACCTCACCACTCTGTGCCACTGTTTCTTGTATGAAACAGGGCCAATAACCTCTTACGAAGGAAAGTATGTAAAGCCCTAAAAGGCTGCCTGGCTCCGAGGAGGCCCTTAGCACATGGTAGGTCTCACTGGGAAGAAATTCTCAAATTCAACCCATATTACAGAAAGGTCAGGACCGTGCCCAGTGTTTGCATGTTTCCTAAGGAGACCATGGATACTTTTTGGGCCCTGGGCCTTTCCCAAGAGCACAACATGTCACAAAATGTGATTCGTGCAAGAGCCCCTGCCCAGCTTTTGCAGAGTGGTTTGGAAACCTGCTGAGCACAGCTGCCCTCTGGGCTCCCTGTGGAAAGAATGGAGCAGCAGCCTCTGGATGAACAACACAGACATTTGTCATGGCACTTAATCCTTCCTCTTCCTGCTGACCACAGATGAGCTGCCTGGGGAAGCTGTGGGCCAGGAAAAGAGGAGTAAATAATTTTCCCTGAAGCTCTGCATAGTATTTATGGAAGAATGTTTTTTCATTCCCTTACCCTAGTTTTACAATTTATATTCCTTTCAGTGTATGCATGTGCAGGGAAGTAATTCTTGATTTTTAGGCCAGCATGGTGGCACACACCTATAATCTCAGCACTTGGGAGGCTGAGGCAGGAGGATTGCTGCAAGTTCAAAGCCAGCCTGGGCTATGTAGTGAGTTAGTTCAAGGCCAGCCTGAACTGCATAACGAGGCCCTGTCTCAAAAAAAAGAAGAAAGAAAAGAAAAGAAATTCTTGATTTTAAAGTCAACTTTATCAGGATTCCAAATAAAGATCTTTTGCTTTGTCACTGTATCCTTCAACCTGTAATTGCCACAAGCCGCTTGTGGCTTTACCATTCCAGTGTTTTAGCCATGGCTCTGTCTCAGTGTCACCAAGCAGATTACTCTACCTCTGTACCAGTTCCTCCATCTGTGAGGTTGGCTAGCCAGGTACAATTTAAACTCTTCTACTACTAATCCAATAAAGAATGAAATTCAACTGCTGTTGAGCTGACAGATGAGCCTGGCTGGTAAAATTCTTATTGGCAAAGATTTCTATTCTACTTTTCATCTGAAAGATTCCAGAAGACCTCACAAAAGGCTCACATGAGAAGAGGAAATTACTGTGACATGCACCCTCTCTGAAAAAAAAAAAAAAGAGATAGACAGACAGAGAAACCAGTTACCCTCCTTTTGGTGTATTTCTAGAAAGGAGTCAGTTCTCCCAAAGTGATCAGAAAGGTAAGGGGCAAGGGATGCAGAATTGCTCGGGTAGGACCAGAGTGATTGGGAACTCAGGCTCTGCACTGCCCTTCATCACAGCTGTGTGTCCTCAGGTGTATGACAGGGCCACGGCAGAGATCGCAGGATTCTGGACACGACAATGAGGAGTCCCCATCGACCTCATCCAACACCAATGGGGATTCTTCTGCGCCAGGTAAGGCAGCTGTTGGAAAAGACTTCTCTGGCCCAGCAGCCAGGATCAATGAAGCCTTCCCCTGCCAAGTTCCCTGGTATTGTCTCTTCTGGCTGCCCGTCCTCCTCGGCCAGGCTCAAATGTGTCTATCTCCTCACTTGCATGGGAGTCACCAGCACATTCCTGGCTTGGAGGGAATCCTAGAAGCAAGTTGAAACCCTGAAGGAAAGAGCTGCAGTGTTGGGAAACAATGGTCTTGGGGCAAATGTCTTCCCCAGGACTGAACTCAGTCCAGGATAGGGACTGACCATGCCTTACAACAGACAGGCAACTGGGCTCCTTTTTAGGTGGGTCCATTCCCAGCATTTTAAGTTGCCGAATTTAATGTTTATTCATTAAAGATCTACCAGGGTATTACTTCGACCCTGAAAAGAACCGCTACTTCCGCCTGCTCCCAGGACATAACAACTGCAACCCCCTCACAAAGGAGAGCATCCAGCAAAAGGAAATGGAGCGCAAAAGACTGCGGCTGCTAGAGGAAGAGGAAAAAAAGAAAAAGGTGGACTCCACGCCCCGCCCTCCACTCCTGCCAGTTAGACACCCTGTGAAGCTTTAGCACAGGCCCTTGAGGGAGTTCCGCCCCCAGCCCCACCACTTCCCCAGACAGGGAAATGGAAGAGAATAAGAAGAGCAAGGATCCCATTCCGCTCCCACCCCCGCCCCACCTTTTCCTGTTTGCTAAGTGTCAGCAGTAGTTGGGGAAGACTGTACTGCCCAGGGGTGTCTTGGGAAGCAGCCCAATGGAAGTTGAGTCCCTGTAAGTTTCAAACAGGAAATCAGTCCGATGGAGTGCCTCAGGCAGTCTTGCAGACAGATTTGGGATGTTTTGCTCAGGACTGCCCTGGGGGGATGGAGGGTAACTGCGCCCAGAACCAGAGTCCAGACTCCTCTGCCCTTGCAGGCTGCTTCTTCCTGGGTTCAGACAGACGGCCTCGGCCTCAGACAGAGGTGTGGAGCTGACCCTCAGCCCCCCCCCCCCCCCCGCCTTGGTGAGAGAGCCTTGTCCTCCTGCCCAGGGGAGGAGGAAGTAACTAATTCTGACTTGTAAAAGACAATGTCAGATTTTTATGCATCTCATTTCTACCCATTTAACACCTGTTTCCTTCATTGCATCCTGTAAAACTAACACATTTCTGTTATCCTACAACACAAGTAAATCTTCATTGGGTCTTTCTTTTCTTTCTCTTAATTTAGAAAGTAGCTAGAGTGGGATTTAATGCATCTTCCTTCCTACGAAAAAGCCAGCTGGGTTTTCTCAACGTCAACAGTTACTGCCGGTAAGACAGTGCCTCGATGTCGTGTTTTCATGAATGTTCTTTCCTATTTGCTTCTTTTCTTTTTTATTTTTTCTTTTGTAATAGTAGGGATTAAACCCTGCATGGGCCTCATACATTCGAAGCAAGCACTCTGCCAAGGAGCTGCACTCCAGCCCTTTGTTATTTTGAGACAGTCTCATTAAGTTACCAGAGTTGGCCTCAAAGTTTTGATCCTCCTGCCTCACCCTCCTGAGGAGTTGGGATGACAAGCATGCACCACCACTCTTGGCATTCTTTCCTGTTTCCTATTACTGTGGTCTAAGAATCCAGTCGGGAGAACCCATGGGCTACTCTATGAGGAGTCTTCACAGATGAAAGGCCCCAAGGTACCCAGCTGCCACATAAACCAGGCCCTAGAGACTTATCCTCTCTCTCCAGTGGGGAGGGAGGAGCAAGGATTTAGGCAGAAATCACTCAAGCTGTTTACTCTGTGATCCTCCTACCAACATCATTCCTTGAGATTTCTGCCTCCTTCACTTTCCTTTCTAATGAGTTGTCACCAGAAATGGGCCATTAAATGGATATGTGCATACTAAATGTATCAAAATGCTTGGGATGCCTGATATGGAGCGATTTGCTCAGGATACAGCCAGCAAGGCAGGATCTGTCTGACTCTGGCATCTGAGCTCCTAACCCCCTTCCCCACCTTATTCTGCCTCCCATGCATGTCTGACATAGCTTACTGGGGCTCAGTCCTCTCACCTGGGAGCAGTGTGCCTGTCAGGGGCAGCCAGCCTTGCAAGGACTATCAGGCAGGGCAGGTGCCCTTTGTTCCCTGGTTCTGAGTAGGGAGAGGTAATGGTATCTCTTCCCTTTGCAGTGGAGGGGAAAGGGGTGGTCAGGTGGGTGTCTACACGCCGGGGCACTTCCCATTGCCCTGTGTCCTTCAGCCTGTTGGCCATCCCTCAGGGACATTGGCTTCATCGCAAGAGAAGGGTGTTGTACTAGGCAGTCTAGGAACAGATCCCTCCTCTTCAGACATTCTCTGAATCTGGAATGTGCAGTGCTTCATTTTAGTTTTCCCCAACATTATATGAGAAAACTAAAATTCAGAATTTGGGGGTTCTCGCTCAGCTTCATTGCTGAGAAGTAGTACAGAGAAGTAGTACAAACCTTTAGTCTGGTTTTTATTTTGTTTTGTTGTGTTTTTTTGGTACCGGGGATCAAACTCAGGACCTTGCACTTTCGAGGCAAGCACGGTGCCATTGAGTTAAATCCCCTGCTTGGTTTTTATTTTGTTTTGTTTGACACAGACTCACTCTGCTGACCAGGCTGATCTTTAACTCCTGTGCTCAAACAATCCTCTTGCCTCTGTCTCCCAAGTAGCTCAGACTCCAGGTGCTCACTGCTATGTGTAGCTTCTGAGTCTCCTGCGTGAGCATCCTGCTCTGGGACCATCCCTCCCTGCATCTGTTTTCCTTCTGTAGCTTAGCCCATGAGCTGCGAGTGAGCTGCATGGAGAGGAAAAGAGTTCACATTCAGCGCTCAAATCCCTCCACTTTGACGAGCGACCAGTTCAGCCTCATCCTGGTGAGTTGGAAGGCCTTGTCTGGATGAGTGCTGGGCCGTGGCTGCCATGCCCTGGATGCTTCATGGTTGTCATCAGGCCTGGCTGTGTAGAAGCCAATAGCTGGAAAGCAGGCAATATCCTCTTGGTTTTAGTTTGAACCTACCTGCTGGCCACCTATAGGTAGGTTCCGATCTGGCAGGCTGTGCTGTGACCATCGTCACCCTCACTCCACCCCTGGCATTTGACATAGATCCTAGGCCCAATTACATGTCGACTAAGAACCCTTACAAAATAACTTCTCTGACTGGATTGTATATGCAACTAAAGAGCTATTCAGTGACCTGGAGCTTCTGGCCCCTCCTACCCCTGGGCAGGGATTGGTGCTGAACCTGAAGCTCCAGGGCACCTTCACTTGCAACAGGCTCTGACTCCCTTGCTTGCTGTGTCTGTCAGGAGTCTGCAGGCCTGGGCATCTAGGGCTGCACGTTAGCACCCCTCCTTCACATCATTTGTAAGGACTGGGCTGGAAGCCAGGCCAAGTGCCGAAGCCCAGGGGCCAGGGAAATGTCATTGGAGAGCTAGCAGGTCCTCTGCAACAGAAGGAGCCTCTCCTCTCCAAAGGCCGGGGAGAGTGAGAGGAGAGACAGAGTGATGTGTTTTGGGAGGACTTGAGGCTCAGCCTCAGACTCAAGGTTGATTCTGAGTCCTCTTGCCCCAGGGCACCTCCACAGGGAAGCCTTGCCAAGTAAGGGGTATTAGGGACAAGGCCCAGATTCTCTGCTTTGCTTTACTCTTTGTGTGTGTTTGAGGCTGCAGTTGGACTGGAATCAGTAGAATATATTCTCACAGTGGGTTCCCCATCATTGGGCTAAGTGGCGGGGCTGGTGAAGGTTGTGGTGTGTGGAGTCTGGTGCTGCACACGCTGCTTATTACAAGCCTGAGCACCCAATCCCCACGCTCCATCTCTTCCCCGTCACCCAGTGTCACAGGGGACTCTGGCTGGCTGCTGTCACCCAAGGGCTGGGAAAGGCAATTCGCCATCATAGAGCAACTTTTCTGATCAGATTCTACTCAGTGTTCATAGTTCATCCGGGAACATAACTCTTCTTCCCAAGTGAAATTGCAGAGTTTGGGCATTTTCACTGGCATCCAAACCCTTGTGCTTGTTACGTGTGTGTGTGTGTGTGCGTGCGTGCGTGCGTGCGTGCGTGTGTGTGTGTGTGTGTGTAGCAGTGTAAACAAAGCCATGAATATATAGGGAGTTTTTGCTTTGAATTATTAACTGTTCTATTTCTAAATGAAAAAAAGAAAATTTAAAAATAGCCCACATCAGGGCTGGTGATTTAGCTCAGTGGTGCCACTGCCTGCCTTGCAAGCACAAGGTCCTGAGTTTGATCCCCGGTACAAAAAAAAAAAAAAATAGCCCACATCCTAATGCAGATTTTCCTGCTGTATTTTTATGCAGTATAATGTACATTTTTCTTTTATGTGTACCTTTCCTTTTTTTTTTGGTGGCAGGGGTCAAACCCTGGACCTCACAGATGCTAAGCTGGTGCTGCATTTGTTTTCTTGTTGGAAATCATCATCTGTAATAGGAGTACAGTTTGGTATCCTGCTTGACCCATTAACAATTATAACTAACATTTTCCATGTCTCTGTGTGGTTTTCATGATGGCCACATAGTATGTTCCTTTGGGCTGACCCTGACTCTTCAAACCCAGCTCTAGTGGAGTGAGGGGTCACCACTGACCTCAATCTTCATGGCCACACCCCACCCCCACCCCCACTAATCCTAATCCCCACTCCCTGCTCCTGAAGTGGTAGAACAGCCTCCCTGTGAACTTTGCCCAAAGGTCACTACAAGTACAGAGTGAGGGAAACTTAGGTCATCTTCATGCTCTCTCATGGAAAGGAGCTGTCACCTGGGGGAGATGCATAGAGTGTGGAGGCCAGGAGAGATGAGCAGGTGGACTTAGCTCATGTGGCTCAGCCTGGGAGGTCACATGCAGCCCATTCCCTCCAGGCGGATACCAACAGTGACCGACTCTTCACAGTGAACAATGACACTGAAGGCGCAAAGTATGGCATCATCAGCCTGAGTGGACTGAAGACTCCTGCACTCAAGGTGCAAATGCTTGAGAACTTTTACTTCACCAGCCGTAAGGTACGTCATCCGGCTCTTCAGCCTCAGAGCCCTTTGGGCCCAGGGGCTCTATAGTAGTTGGCCACAGAGAACTTTGTGTAGGAGGCAGGGCACAGTTACTTCATTTTTCCAAGGATCAAGTAGGTTGTTGGTTTCTGAGGACCCACGGACCTACAGGAAAAGAAAAGGAGCCTAGGAATGAGTGTCCTGTGTTGGAAGAGAAAGTTAACTTAGATGGTTGGGGTAGGCCCAAGGCAGCACTGCTTTACCTGGTTCTAAGGACATTCCCTCCAGGAAAGTCAGGAGTTTCTGGGACGTGGGCTACAGTAACTGGCCTGAATGAAGGAGTCCTCTCCTTACATCAAGTCAATACATCCATCACCAAGCCAGTCTGTGCCCCCCCCCTTAGGTTTAAATAAACACAGAGTGCTCTCTATCTAGGGGTGACCTTTAAATTCCAGTGGGGTGGTGGCTGCATCTGTAAGAAGCTGTGACTTATAGGACATGAGAGCCACAAGGTCGAGACAGCTTGAAATGGCTTGTGAGTAAAGTAAGATACAGCACAGTTTTGGAGTTAGGTTTGTCCCCTGCAACTGTGGAGAACTGAGCCCCAGCTGGTGAGTATATCAGCTTCCTTGTATAGGACATATGCTGGTACAGAAGGGTGAGATCTGGGGTTTGCTTCCTTCTGGCCCCATTGAGGCCCCATATGGCAGGACAGAGAACTCTCCTATCCTCAGAATGCTTATGCTAGCCCAGTTTAAGAGGAATGAGACCTGCAGGAAAAAGTCCTATGTCTGTTTCCCTACAAGTAACTGAGAACTTGGCCATTTCTCTCCATGAGCTGGCAGTCAAGCCAATCGTGCCATCTTGCTGTGTGGTTCCTCACCAGGTGAATTCTGTGTGCTGGGCCTCGCTGAACCACTTGGATTCCCACGTTCTGTATCCTTTGGTGTGGACCTTGGATCTGTGGGCTTTGTGAGATGACATCTTAATGGCAGAGGACTGGGCTATTCTGCACTCACGTCTTGCCCTTTAGAAGCAAACTACACTGGGTAGACAACAGGGATTCCTTTGAAGCACAGAGCAGCAGTTGAGATCCCATGACGACTCTCTGGGGATGATGTCGATGTTCCTGTGTGCCAGACACTGTTCTGGAACTTCACATGTAAGTAGAGGAGATAGGATCGGAACTCAAGCAGTCTGGCTCCAGAGCCTCCCACTCTACCACTATGACTTGGGGCTTTGGGGCACAAGACACAGATGTGGCAGCATCTGTGCCAGAGAGTTGGTGCTTTGGCACCAGAAAACAAAGAAATGGCACAGCCTTGGGAAGGAGCCCTCAGTTCTGCAGTAAAGGAGGAAAACAGTGGTTATTCGGGCCTGGGGTCCTCCCAGGGACGCTGAGGTCTGGGTAAGAGAAGGAGGTTCTCTTGCCATTGGACAGGTCTGTGGGCCCAGAGGCCTAGTACAGCCTTCTGTGGTGCACTCTTCACTCTAGTCATTGGTTTCCCAGAGAGCCACCAGGGCTTTTTTGCTAGGAACACAGTGACGAATGGTATCACAGGACCTAAGCCTTCCTCTGGGACCTCTGGGCTCTTCATGCTACAAAGGACTTGTTTGACCCAAAGCCACATGTTGATGATGCTTGTCTCTGGTTCAGGCCCATAACAAATGAGTTCTTGAACCTGTGTGCTGCCAGTCCACTTAACACTTGCTTCATGAGCTGTCATGAGATGAATGTTCATTAATGTACTGTATACCAGTTTCAGCACTTCATTGATCCTCACCAAATGAAAGCTGAATCAGAACCTTTATTTTTATTTGCTTCACAGTACCACATTTCAAAGGATTTAAGGCTTGAAGTCCATCAATGATCTGATTATAATTTTTATGTAAGACACAAAACTGTGTTCTGTAAACTGCAGCTTTATGTGGCTGTCATCTGATGGGACTTTGGCAAGTGATGGGGCTGACCGCCTGTTACTACACTGATCTAACAAGAAGGAAGAGGCCACGTTTTACAGAGAGGAAACAAGAACCTCATGCTCATTTCTGACCATAAAGCAGTGTGGTGTTTTCTCCCATTTCTCCATGGCCAGGAGGGGGTGAAACCCCGAGTAATTAAAGCGTGGTCTGTCCCAGCTCCAGAGGTGGCTTGCCACCTGGTGGTCATTCCAGGTCCACATTAGGCTTTTGTGCTTCCACTAAAGTTCCCAGAACTTTGCTCCTTACAAAAAGGAAATCTTCAGACCTGCATCCTTGTTCAGACCTGCATCTGCATTTTGCACCAACAGTGGTGCGAAAGAGAGATCAGAATGAATTCTTTTTCCACTTAACTGGGCTCTTATAACTGTGCCCTGCTAAAGGAGTAATCTATGGTCCTGACCCTGTAAGTACCATACAAAGTTTGAGTATAACCTGGGTTTCAGCCACAGTGACTAAAAGTGCACATGGATAAGGATTTCTTCCCTTATCCTTACCCTATAAACCCAGAAGCAAAAGGTCTATATAGGAAAAAATTGAGCATCTGGTTTTAGCAGTGTCTGTAGACCAGAGATACTATTTAACAGAGCTTACCACCAAAGGTCACATACACATCACACATTCAGATGGTTGAAATGCTAACCTGGTGGCTTCTTTGTTAGTGCTTTTTAATGAACCACTCAGCCAATGTCTGTTGGGCATATATACTCACTCTGCAAGGTCCTGGAGAAAGACAGCTCAACAGGTAGTCAGTCCGTGAGGGCCTTTGGATGCCACAAGGATGCAAGAGTTGTCCTCATGGATCCTCACATGGGAAGGAAGGGACAGGAGCTGCCAGCAGAAGGGTGAGTCAGGAGAGGGGTTGGCATATTTGGAACCTGTTTGGTATCCCATGATGTCTCTAGCTTGGTAGGGTCTTCCCATACTGAGTCATCAGAGCTATGGAGTGCCCCAAGGACTGTGATCATGGAGTGACATTTAAAAAGAGTCTTGGTAGCAGTGTGGGGATGTAGACTGGCAAGGGTGAGACTTCATCAGAGGCTGCTGCAAGACCATAAGAAGACAGTGGTGAAGGCATGGTGCTGCAGGCTTGAAGGAGAGTAAGAGCCTAAGAGAAACCTTCATTCTAGCCAGAGAATCAGGTGACAGGAGAACATTTCACAATGGAACTCCGGAAGTGGTAAGTTAGAAGCCAAGAAGGAATGTGCAGATAGAAACTTGGCTGTGTGGCCACAGGGCAGGACTGGGACTGACAGGTGAGTCTAGGAGATGATGGAGATTAGAAAGTTGGAGTGGATATTCTGTGTGCTGTCTTGCACATTTTAAAAGCATAAACTAAAAAGAAAATAAAAAAAAGCATAAACTGTACTTTAGATCATCGTATGTTTGTAAGTATCACAACAAGGCCTTAGAAGAACTCACACACAACTTCTGTCTGGGTGGGGGAAAGAGGAGATTTGGACTGGGGAGGGATTAAAGGGGGCTTTTAACTATATCTGTGATACTTTTTTCCTTTAAGTAAATCTGAGGCTAAATTGGAAGATGTAATCATGTTACAGCTGGACGATCAGCATTACTCACTGTCCTATTTCATGTGTTTTCTAAGTTTTTGAAGGGTACTGATGTCCATTTTTCTCCCAGAGGAGATCCTTGTCCCTTATTGTCCTTAACGGCTTCTTCCAGGCTGTGCCTCTTGGGATTTGCACAGACTCCAGGCTGTGCCACTTTGATCCCAGCGTCGCTGTTCACCAGTAGTCACCCAGGTACAGGGTCCTTCCCCTCAGAGGAAACCAGAGCCTTGGGGGAGGTTTCTGTCCTCTGCTTTCTAGGAGCTGTAGGTGGGGCTCAGAGAGATGTGGGAGCCAGAGGCTGGGTGCCCCTGAAATGGAGCACAGGGTGGGGCCACACTGTGGAAACCCTGAGCCTGTCCCACAGTCAGTACTGGGTGCACATGCACTTCTGGTAGTGTCTCCTGCTTGTACCCCTTGTGGGTCACATCAGCAGCCAGACCAGTTAAAATGTATGTGTAACCTGTGTGAGTCATCAAAATATTGGTTTGGGCTGCCTGTGCTAACCATTCAGAAGACACCTTAAGCCCCGACTACCTGTGTATGGCAGGCCCTCCTAGAGATATGTGTGCACCCTGTCTTGCTGAAGTCAGTTTGACTGGTCCTTCCTGGCAGCATTCTGGATATTAAGTTTTCAGCCTTTCATAGATTTAGGATCTAAGACAAGGGTCAGCTGTAAGAGTCCAGATTTGGGGCAGATGTGGCACAAATCCTAGCACTGTCCCTTACCCCTTTGAACAAACTCTAACCTCTGGACAGTGAAGACAGTGCCTACCCCATTGGGTTCCATGCAGAGTCTGATGAGGCTGTGCATGTTTAGCCCAGTGCCTGGCATTTCATTGCACAATAAGCATAGGAGGCAGAAGTGTGTCTCATCACCATTTTACAGATGAAAAAACTGAGATAAAAGAGAGGGTCAGAATTTGCCTCACAAAACTAATTTTTAGTGTTAGAACTCAGGATAAAAAAAAACTCAGAAGGGGCCAGGAATGTAGCTCAGTTGCACTGTGCCTGCCTGGCAAGCTCAAAGTCCTGAGTTCAATCCCTGGTACTGGAAAAAACAAAAAAGTAGGGTTATCAGTTCCCTTTGGGCGGGAATCAGGGTAAAGGTAGTAACTGGGAGAGGTACGTGAGGGAGGCGTCTGGAGCATGGGCGTATTTTCTGTCTTAACCTAGAGAGAACCTTAACCTGGCACATGGCTGAATTCACTTTGCAGTTTCTCGTGGAGTGTATGTATCCTTATGATTTCTATCAGTGCACATGTGTGTGTTGTAAATGTTTTGCTTGACAGTGTACAGCTGGTAGTGTGATCCAGGACTGAAATCACCTTTTCTGTGACACCACACTGCCTTCCTGATAGCCGTTAGTACTGTGCACTCCACAACCTGCACTGTTAACGACAATGACCCTTTGAGCCAGGCACCCCAGCTGAGTCTCTCACTACTACAAAACCCAGAAAAGGGCCAAGGCACAGACCCCATTTTAGTCTGCTTCCTATTGCTATACTAAATACCACAGACTGGGTGAGTCATAAAGGAGAAAGGATTGTGAGCTCGAAGTGCTGGAGGCTGTGAAGGCCAAGCCTCTGATGAGGGCCGCCTTGCTGCCTCCTGACACAGTGCAGGCACCCGTGGTAAAACAGATCAAGCCTGATAGATTAGCAAATGAAAATATATTCTTTTTAGATCTTGCGAGGGAGGCCGTGGAACCACTGAGCTAAATCCCCGGCCCTCTTTTTAGATCTTGATACAATGTATTTATCATTTTTATTCTCTTAATCATTTTTGTTATGAAAAATTATTTTCTTTTTTTTTCTTTTTTTTGGTACCGGGGATTGAACTTGGGTCCTTCCACTTGCAAAGCAGGCGGTGGAACCACTGAGCTAAATCCCTGGCCCGAAAAATTATTTTCATAGAACAGCTTTTATATTTTCTTTAGTAATAGCTACTTGTATTATATTAAAGTAAACAAAAATTTTTTAAAAAGTAACAGATCAAGCCTTAGAGCTTGGGTCTCTCCTCATAAATCCACTGATGCTACATGAGGGCCCAACTTTGCTCCTCATCTAATCCTAGTTACCTGCCAAAGGGCCTTCTGCTTCCAAATGCAGGGACTCAGGGACTGTTTCCAAATGTACATTCCAAGGAACGCACCCAAACCAAGACAGGCCCTCTAACCATTTTCCCCAGTGGCTTCCCAAATCTGGTGGACACTCGCCTGGCAGCCTACAGGCCTAGAGGGCAGCCATGCTTCATTTTCTCTTCTGCTCAGGTGTAGACCGGCGTGGCATGCTTTGCAGTTTCCGGATCCCTGGCGCCTGGTCCTGTGCATGGTGCCTGAACATCCAGGCAAACACCTGCTTCAGTACCGGTGAGTCGTGACTGCCTCCCCCAGTGCCTGGAGTAGTGGATTTCAGACCTTCAAACCCCAACCAACAGTCCCTCTCCCTCAACTGCCAATGATTCCTGTGTCACCGACCTCTCTCTGTCTCACCAGGCTTGTCTCGGCGAGTCCTGTTGACCAATGTGGTGACAGGACACCGGCAGTCATACAGGACCAACAGTGACGTCTTGGCCCAGCAGTTTGCTGTCATGGTTGGTTGAATTGGGAAAGGTGTAATAGAAAGTTTTCTGGGATGAAATTGGATTCCCTGGTGTGGCATTTAGACCTCCTCCCTCTTTTACAAAGGAGAAAAGAAGTGACAGAAAGGATGAGAATATGAGTTGAGTAAAAGGCCTGCCTGAGCTGGATTTAACCAACTTCCTGTCTAAAGTAATTCTTAGCAATCCTTTATTTTGGGTTAGTGGGATGAATCATGTTTAAAATGTGTATGTGGGGCAGGGTTGTAGAGCGTATGCCTAGCATGTTCAAGGCCCTGGGTTCCATCCCTGAGCCCCACAAAAAATTAAAATATGTATGTGAAGTACTAATCCATAGCCTCATATGCAACTTTCAGTTTGTAGGTTTTATATGGATAAAAATAAATTCTGGTCATTACTGTATTTCAAAGGCTTGCCCTGTAGAGAATGCTGTCTTCAACAGTATGGAGGGGGAGTCTGCTGACCACTCGTGGCAGGAGACAGAGTTGATCATTCAGACCTTTAGTCATCGCCTGCTCCGGTTAGGACCCCACACCAACCTGGGATCTCTTCTCTCCTAGTCACATGCTCCGCACCGGAGACCTTGGTAGGGACAGGGTGCTATCACTCCGGCTTCATGAGAGGGGCCTAAGAGCTTATAAGCTGCCTCCAAGCCCCTGTGGGCTCCCCACACTGGAGTAGACACGGAGTCCAGTTCTACCCCATCACAAGGACTTCTTGTCCCTTCTAACTCCATTGAGACTCAGCCTCCCACCAAGGCAGCCCATGGGACCCTGTGGGAGGCTGAGGCCAGAGAAGGGTTTTCTTTGGGAGGACACACCCTTCCCAGCCTCAGGGGTACCAAGCAGTCCCTGTCTCCACAGACTCCTTTGCTGTTTAATGGCTGTCGCTCTGGGGAGATCTTTGCCATTGATCTTCGTTCTCGAAGTCAAGGCAAGAGCCGTAAGGCCACCCGCCTATTCCATGACTCAGCAGTGACCTCTTTGAGGATTCTCCAGGAAGAACAATCAGTGATGGCATCAGACATGGCTGGAAAGGTAGGGGACACTGACTTCCTCCAGCCCCATGTATGCTGTCTTAGTTATTTTTCTCATTGCTAAAACAAAATACCCAACACTCAGAACTAAAGGGGGAAAGGTTTATTTGATTTACAGTTCGTAGAAGTTTCAGTCCATAATCAACTGACTCCAAGGATGGCAGAGGGGCAACAGTTCATGGCAGACAGACAGTAGCAAGCACCAAGAGACCTTAACAGTGTCGTCCTGCCCCTTTTATCTTATCCAGACTAATTAGGAAAGGTAGCACTCACACCCTTACTCCTAGTGCCCTCGGGGCTAGCATGGCACCCAAATCAGTCATATACTTTAGATTCAGCCACCTCTGAAAAAGCCCCACCTGAGACCAAAAAGGCTTTGGAAGGGACATCTAAACACAAGCCATAACATATGCCATGCAAGGGGGTTCTGCAGAAGAAACTGGACCAAGACATCAGGCAGGAAGAAGTCACAGGCTATCTGGGGAGCTCCTTAGCTGCCCCCAAGAGCTGAATCCATCCTAGTCAGAAGTGAAAGGGGTTGCTGTCTACATGATTTTGATGGACTTGGGTTTAAGAGTTGGAGGTATAGGCCCGGGATTTAGCTCAGTGGTTCCGCCACCTGCCTCACAAGCCAAGGACCCGAGTTCAATCCCCAGTACTGAAAAAGAAAAAAGAATTGGAGGTGTAGATCTTCATTACCTAGAGGCCACTGGAGACTGCCTGGCCCGTCCTAGCTTCACACCTGGTGTTCCCTGATGTGTCTGCAGGACCCTCCCAAATGATCCCCTGTGCTTCTTCCCTCAGATCAAGCTGTGGGACCTCAGGGCCATGAAGTGTATAAGGCAATACGAAGGTCACGTGAATGAGTACGCCTGCTTGCCTTTGCATGTGCACGAGGAAGAAGGAATCCTGGTGGCAGGTACATAGGGAAGAGAAGATTCTATCCATCTAGTCACATCTCTTAGAGCCCCAGCAACTTAAGCGGCAGAGGGAGAAGTTGCTCAAAAACAGAAGTACTGGGGACTGTGGGCATCTGGGTAGGGAGACTCAAGGGGAAATAGAGTTGGATATTGGTAAACAACAGTTGGACACAGCCAGCAGCTGCACAGCCCTCTGGAAACAGGGAGGGGAGGTATAGCAAGACAGCAACTAGGAGACCAAGGTTTGGGATCTATGCATTAGGTCACATTATCCCATCATACACTGTCCTGTCTAAAAACTTGCTTCCCATTCTCTCTGTTCACATGTCCACAAGAAGGTCCTGAGAAAAGAAATCAAATCCATTGAAAAGTAACCAATTCCTGGTCTTTTTAACATTACACATGATCTGTAAGAATAGGAACAGCTTCTACCTACTAAGCCCCCTTGAAAAGAGTTACAAATTTATTACAGATCAGACTATTTCTGGGCCATAGGATAATGTGATAGCACCAAGGTCAGTGTTTTTATATGTGAAACAGCTGGCCCTTGTTCTCAGTCTTCACGAATCCTCATATTTGCTAATGTCCTACAAAAAGTACTTATTCTCCGTGAAACATTTTTGTGGCTAAGAAGCATCACTTTGTTAGAACTTTCGTAGGCATACCTACTGTTCTCATCAACACCAACACTTAGCTTCTTTTAAATCTATTTTCTGCAAGTGTGCATCTCAAAAGCGCTTCTGTGTGCTGTGTCGCAGAAGAGCCAAACTGTATTGAGTGGCAGGTGCAGGTAGTCCACCAGTTGCATCAATAAACTACTGCACATGGTCATCCCCAACCAAGGGAGCCCTGTGAACTTAGTCACTTAAGTGGTGAAACAGACCCATGACTGCCAAAGGCCCACCTTCCCTTCTCCTGCTGAAGCCATTCAGATGTTCAGGCTGTCATACCCCTAGGGTCATATGTCATGATGTTTAGGGCTCAGAACTTACAGCCCTGAAGACTTTAATTGGTCTTAGCAACTTGAACTTCTTAAACAGAAAAAGCTCGGGAAGGAGCCATCTGGTTTGTTCTCAGGATATAATTAATGAAAGTGAGAGATCTTGGTGAATATTGCCTGTTATCTAGACCAAGTGTGCTAGGTTCCCCTTAAACAGCCCTTGACACTGAAAGAAGCAGAATCCCCCTGCAGAGCCAACCAGTCATGTCGCTTCAAGTACTTGTAATTATTTACGTTCTAGAACACCAAGGGAAATCAGGATTTTGATTTTGAAAAGTACATATTGGCAGTGTTTGTATATGACTTTGTGCTTTGGCTCACACAAAATCACATTTAGCCTTGAAGAATCGTGAGGAGCCACGTCCAGACTTTTTTCCTTTTCTTTCTCTCACTAACCTGCTGCATGTCTTCCCTCTTTCTTAGTGGGCCAAGACTGCTACACAAGAATCTGGAGCCTCCAGGATGCCCACCTGCTCAGAACCATACCCTCCCCATACCCCGCCTCCAAGGCTAACATTCCCAGCGTGGCCTTCTCTTCTCAGCTCGGAGGCTTCCAAGGAACCCCAGGGCTGCTCATGGCTGTCAAGCAGGACCTTTACTATTTCTCCTACAGCTAATTCTGCAGGGGGACAGCCCAGAGGAGTGTGGCTTTGCCTGAGGAGAATTAGAGTGGCTTATTTCTGGTTCTAATGAGGGAATTTTAAGCGATGCCCAGTGCATGCAGATCTCATCCCTCTGGCTGCTATGAGCAAGGTGCTAAGGATTTTACATGGAGACACTTCAGTAAAGTTGTTACAGTTAAATTGTGGGCTCAGAGAGCTTGAAAGTCCTTTTCATAAAAGGTATTTATTTCTTTCTCTTGTTAAATTCTCCAGAATAGTTCCCTAACCCCTACCCCCTTTTTTTTAAAACAAAAAAAGACTTTTTTGTAAAGACTGGAGATAGGCAAAAACTAAAATAAATCTGCTGCTTTCACAAGAAGCCCTGTGGAGCTCAGTGAGACAAGTGACTGTTGGAGTAGTCAGTGCCTGGAATCCAGGAAGAATTGCATCTGTCTTTGACAAAGCCAGCCGGGTGGAGAGGAAAGGCAAGTCATGTCTCTGAGTCTATGGTGTAAAGATTTAAGGCTGGAGTCTGGAATCATTAATGTGGCTGTCTCAAACTCTGCTTCAGCATGTCCAATCAAAAGGATTCTCTTTTTGTTACTGCTGATAGGCATTGAAAGGAAAGATGGATTTTTTTTTTTTTTTAATTCTAGAAGTTTTTGGTTTTTTGGTACCAGGGATCGAACTCATGACCTTGCGCTTGCAAGGCAGATGCAGTGGCACTGAGCTAAATCCCCGGCCCTGCTAGAAGTTTTAAAGTCTTTAACATGCCTTTGTTAAGGCAGCTTCCAGAACGTAAAGGATAGCAGCTCTTGTTGCTGATATGGTGACTTGAATGTCAAATTCAAGGGTGCAGAATCAAAGAAAATTCACTCTCTTTTTTGTAATCTCAGCTGCAGTTTCTGAGATGTTTATACCAAATGTTTTTAAAAGCCTGTCTCTCTACCAATAAAGTAGAAAAACATGTTACAGCATGTTACCTCTGCTAAGGTCCTGGTGCTTGTAGCACCAAACCAACTGCAGTAGTTTATACTTAGATCTCAGATGAAGCCAAAATAGCTGAGACCAGCTTTAATAGCTGTGCTGGAGACCAACCCACCCTGCCCTTTTCCTTCTCTGCCCTGCCCTGCATGTGCCCCAGGAGACTGGCTTCTGGATGGCTGCAAGGCCTCTGGCCCTGGGCACTAAGGCAGAAGCACCCAGTGGGAAGTACTAGCAGGAAAGCAGAGGGCAAGAGGGCCACAAAATAGGATTATTAGTTCCCTGGCTCCCTTTCTGTTGACCTGTGGTGGCTGTGACCGTTCATCACAGCTTTTATTGGAAGACAGCTCTTTCTGGGTTCCAGTTAACTGTTCTCTTTGTCCCCAACACCTTACTGTTACTAATCCCAGGTTAATTCACCAGTTAAACTCTTCAGTTACCCTCTTGAATGTTCTATTTCCTGCCAGACCCTAATAAAACTTATACAGAGAACCAAATCTTAAACACTACGTGAGAATTTTGGTTATTTAATAGTTGAACTACAGCTACAGCTATTTTTAGTGTTTCATCCTATCTTATTTGATCCTTATAACAACCATAAAGGAGGCAGGACAGCAGTACTAATTCAAAATGATTAGCTGATTGCACATACCTGTTGTCCTGGCTATTCTGGAGGTTGAAGCAGGAGGGTCACTTGAGTCCAGGAGTTAGAGGCCAGTCTAGCTAACATGGAGAAACCCAGTCTCAACATAAAACATTTTTAAAACTTATAAGCATCATTTTAAAGATAAACCAGGGTCCAGGCTAGGGGCACAGCCCTAGCTTCACTCAAAGTTGTTACAGTACCACAAGCATGTTCTCTTTAGAGGCCATAATCTGAGCAAAGGCATGTAGTCACAGATGATACTCATAGCCCCAGTGGCCAGAAGTGAGGTGACCTGTTGACTGGGAAGAGCACTCACACTCCTTTAGTTGAAATACCTTCAGGACTTTGAAGGGATAGTCTGGGAGCGGGACCAGAGGCTCAGCAAGATCCATGCTAGAGCTCAGATTTAAAGTCAAGAAAAGTTATAGGGGCCGGGGATTTAGCTCAGTGGTTTTGCCACCTGCTGTGCAAGCGCAAGGACCCGAGTTTGATCCCCGGAACCAAAAAAAAAAGAGGAGTTATAGACTGTTATTATGGATTCAGTTTTCTCTTCCTGATCGATGGTAGTTCTGAAACTGAAAATGCAAATATGGTTGCAAAATTGTATCAGAATTTTAACAGTTGGAGGCTTGGCTCTTGTGTTGTAGGGTAGAAGCCAGTTGTTGCTTTCAGTGAAGAAATTACTGTTCCTCCCTGAGGACAATGGAAAAGATTAGATATAAAGCTGTGCTCTCCCAACAACAGAAGGAACCTTGGCTTTTTACCTTTGCTCTTAAGGAATATATACTGCACTTGATCTTAGCCAAAAGGCTGAGAAGCGATTTAAGGAAAATATACTGACTTTATCTAGAGGGAAATGCAAAAGAATGCATATTGTGTGAGCAGATGTTCCGGGAGACCTTGCCAGAGGCTGCACAGGCTGCCTGGCCCCAGTTGCCAGCTGTGCATCTCACTGCTACGCACCATTGACCTTCTGAACCTCTGAACCACTGTCTGGCTGTAAAACCTGGCCACCACTGATGGCCTTCCAACCATCAACCATATAAAGCTAGTACACTGCCTGGCAATGAAATAGGCAACTAAATATTGGTTCTTCACTTTTCCAATTCCCAACTAACTTGCTGAGTTAAACCCAAGGGATGACTAAGGATCCCAGTGGGTCCCATTGCTTAGGAAACCATTTTAGTTCTCAGCCACAAGCTGAAACCTCATTATGTTCGATCACTATCTTCACCTATAACCAAGTTCTTTACACAGAGTTATTTAAAGCCTTATGTGGTCCTGTAAGATCCCTCGCACACCCAAGGAGTGGAGGAACTGGTTGGTGTTAGAGAGCTCATTGTAGTTACTAGGCAAGGAGGGGGTCCCTGGAGTGTAACCATATTCTTAATGGCTGCCAGTGGTGTTGAATTGGAGAAAATCAACAAAGCTCAAACATTTCAGCCTACATTTATGTGGTTTTTACCTCATATTTAGCTGAGGCTGGGATTGGATCCTGTAAGACCAAAAAAAGGACATATTTGACATTGGTACCCTTCCTCTCCTCCACTGGTCTGACCAGTGTAGAAAAGGGAGTTTAGAAGATTGCTGTCAGGCATGGTGACACATGCCTGTAATCCCAGTACTCAGGAGGTTGAGGCAGGATCACCATGAGTTTGAGGCCATCCTGAGCTACAAAGTGAAACCCTGTCTCAAAAAGCCAAAAAAAGAGAGATTGTTTTATTTTAGTCCTATGAAAAGAGCCTTAATGGGCCGGGGATTTAGCTCAGTGGTTCCGGCGCCTGCCTCACAAGTGCAAGGTCCCGAGTTCGATCCCCGGTACCAAAAAAAAGAAAGAAAAGAGCCTTAGGCCAGTGATGGATTAGAAATGTCACTATCACCAGGGATCTAGCTCAGCGGTTCTGCCGCCTGCCTCGCAAGCGCAAGGACCCAAGTTCAATCCCCAGTACCAAAAAAAAGAGAAAGAAATGTCACTATCATCCTAAGCAAACCATGGGTGCTGGGGCATGACCACAGAACAACCAGCCAGGTCCAACATAGCCACTTTTCTGACTTAGATCTAAAATGTCCCCCCAGGTCTTGTGTACAGAAGTGAAGCCTGGTCAGAAGAGGCAGGTCACTAGGGCTACGACCTAGAAGGGTATATTCTTGTCCCCAGCCCCTCCCTTCTCTGCTTCCTGGCTGCCATAGGATGAGCAGCAGTCCTCTACCATGCCATTTCTGCCTTGGAACCAACTTACCATGGACCAAATCCTCTGAAAACGGTGAGCCAAAATAAACCTTTCCTCCTTTAAGTTGTGGGTGTTGGATATTTTGTCCCAGGGACAGGAAAGTTACTGATACAGAAAATTGGTACCAGAGAAGTGGGGTCATTACTGTGACTACCTAAGCATGTGGTTTAGAAACCTCTGGAACTAGTTTGTGGTAATTTGGAAAGATTAGGAGATGCAGGCTAAAGAAGCTCCATAAATGCTGTGAACAGAACTTGATGGGTGATTCCAGTTGAGACTCAGACCAGAATGTTAATAGAGGTCCAGGGATTTAGCTCATTTGTTCCGCCACCAGCCTTGCAGGCGCAAGGTCCCAAGTTTGATCCCTGGTGCCCAAAACAAACAAACAAAAAATGTTAATAGAAATTTGGACACTAAAGGCCAGGCTCATGAGGTTTCAGTTGGGAACAAGGCCTCTACTGGAAACTGGACTAGAGACTGTGTGTTACATTCTTCCAAGGAATCTGTCTATATTTTGCCCATGTACAAAGACTTTGCAGGAAACTAAGGTTAAGGACAATGGAGTAACTAACCTGGGAGAGTAAATTTCAAGACAGCATAATATTCAGGCTATGGCATGGGTACTGCTGGTGCTTTTTGCTAGACTTGGGCAAAAACTTGAAATTTTGGCCTGTAAATCCTAGCACTTGGGAGGCTGAGGCAGGAGGATCACCAGAAATTCAAGGCAGCCTGGGCTAGTGAGTTCAAGGTCAGGCTATACTACATAGCAAGACCCCCTCTCCAAAAAAAAAGTGTTTTTGGTCCAAAAGTTGAGGAAAAACTAGGTGTGGTTTCTGAAGAGATCAGTAGCACCAAAAAGCAGCTAGGTACTTTGCACTGGGATGATAGTTAAGAGTCCTTGAAGGGATCTCAGGAAATGGCCAAACTCCTTTGAAACACTTTGCTTTGAGAGCCCCGTGGCACCATACTCATTCAGACCCACCCAGAGAAGTGTTTCTCCAAGTTGAACCATCTAAGCATTCCGAGCCCTCTGCAGCTGTAGTCCAAGCTGCTCAAGCTGGCAGCAGTCCTTCACATCATCCACATGGTACTGGTTTTTCAGGCATGCAAAGTGTATAAATTGTGGGGTCATGGAGATTTCCACCCATATTTGAAAAGGAAGGCCTGGATGGCCAAGCAGTCTACCCTGGAGAAAGGAGTACACAAAGCTGAGGGAAGCCAAAAGAACAGTGAAGACTCCAGAAGTTGAAGATGGCAGGAATGTGGAGTGTCTGCTATGGAAAACCACAGCCAGTGAGCATGGCCAGCCTGAGAAGCCATGTGGCAGCAACTGACAGTGCCACAGGGGGAGGGCTGTGTAAGCCCTATGGAACACAAGTCACCACCACCTGCTCTGGCTGCTGGGCATGGAGCCACAGGATTTAATGTTTGCCCTGCTGGGTTTCAGTCTTGCTTTGGTCTAATTCCTTTGTATCTCCCTATTCCTTTTTGCTTATCCTGTCTCTTTTTATGTGTTTAAGTATTTAACTTTTTTATTTTCAAGAAGACTCAACTAGGTGCCCGCCAGTGAGGCCGGACCGTAGGGAGCCGCGCAGAGCCTCTCTACTGCCGTGATCCCAGGGCTCTGAGCCGACCTGCCCGGGCACAGGATGCCAGGGCCAATTCAAGGGGTGAGGAAAAGTCGGGGTTGAAGCCCCGCTGTGCTGGGGCCGCCATCCCTGAAGAAATGAGTGGTGGCTTGGCTCCAAGTAAGAGCACAGTGTATGTGTCCAACTTGCCCTTCTCCCTGACAAATAATGACTTATACCAGATATTTTCCAAGTATGGCAAAGTTGTAAAGGTTACTATAATGAAAGACAAAGATACGAGGAAGAGTAAAGGGGTTGCATTTATATTATTTTTGGATAAAGGCTCTGCACAAAACTGCACCAGAGCCATAAACAACAAACAGTTGTTTGGTAGAGTGATAAAGGCAAGCATTGCTATTGACAATGGGAGAGCAGCTGAATTCATCCGAAGGCAAAACTGCTTTGATAAATAGAAATGTTATGAATGTGGGGAAAGTGGACACTTAAATTATGCCTGTCCGAAAAATATGCTCAGAGAATGTGAGCCTCCAAAGAAGAAAAAGAAAATTGCCGAACCGGAAGAAATCGAGGATGAAGCAGAAAGTGAAGACGAAGGAGAAGACCCTGCTCTCGAGAGTCTCAGCCAAGCCATCGCCTCCCCGCAAGCCACGACTGAAGAACAGAACCAATGGAACCCAGTGCAGGGGG